TTACCTCTTTGGCTTTTTTTCAAACACCTTGAAATTCTCCAAATATTTAATCTAACTACAGGGCCCTTTGTGATCTCCCCTCGTGGTCAGCTGAACAATGACCCCAAAAGATGTCCCTGTCCTAAAGCTCAGAACCTGTGAATATCAATTTATATGGCAAAAGGGGACTTGGCCGAGGTGAGGAGGTGGAGACAGGGAGATCAGGCTGAATTATGTGTGATCCCAAAGATCCTAGTCAGGGGAGGCAGAGGAGATCTGACCCCATTCAGAGGACAAGGCCGTGGCCCCGGGGGCAGAGGGAGCTGAAAGCCTAATGGGCCTGAAGCCCCTTGAGGATGGCTATTTAGGGCAACCAGCCCCCAGAACTGGATAGGAGGCTGCATTTCTGTTGTTTTACTCCACTTGGTGGAAGTGGGGTCCTGCTTCCGAGACTGCCCCCAGAGCCTCGGATCAGTCTTGGTTCCTATGCATAGACAACCTTCTGGGGGCTTCTCTCTCCAACTCCTAACTCCCACCCAGATTGCCTGAGAGACAGTCGCAGTGAAGGGGAAGAGAGGAAAACTTTACCTCACCCACAGGAAGCCTCCTAAGGGCTGTTTGTGTGTGTCCATTTGTCTAGAAATCCTCCATGCATAACCCATGTGCGGGTCTTGGTGTGTATGTTCTATGTGTATTCATTCACGATGACCTCACATCAAGGCTATCCCCACCTCACAAACGGCAATTACAGGCACAGCGGGGTTAAGTAACTTGCACTCAGTGGGGTTAAATAACTTGCGCACAGCAGGGTTAAGTAACTTGCCTAACATCACTCTGCTCCTGAGGAGCACTTGCCAGTCTGAGGTTCCTGGGGCTGGTCTTCTGCCCACTCCAGGGGTACCCCTGCCCCACTGCCCTGAGAAGCTTGGATGCCCCCTTCCAACCTGGCTGCAATCCCTACCCTTCTCTGCCTGCTCAACCAACAGCGCGTTCCTTGGGCCTGGGGTCCCCACACTCTGGTGGGCCTAGCAGCACCACTTGATCTTCTGCGGTCTGGCATGGAGGGCAGCCAGAGCATGCCAGAGCCTGGCGCCAGAGCGCAGGCGCCAACTCGAGAGTGTCAGCACCTTGAGAAAGTGTCAGCTCCCTCCTCCGCTGCCCTGGGGCAGTAACCGGGCGGCACTGAAGGGCTCCTCTCCAGACACCGACTGGGCGCCTTCGCTTCCCGGGTCCACGTGAACCAGCACCCTCCAAGGGAGACTTTAACCGAGGGGGGCTCGACCTGGTACTCTCCAACAATCTGAGGTTGCAATGGGGTCCACCGCTCGCGCTCCCGCTCCGGCTCCCTGCGGGTAGAGGCGGCATCCTCCTGGGGAGCCAGGTGGGGGGGAGGAGAACCCAGCCGTCAGCCAATCAGTGCAGCGCAGCCCTCCGCCTGTCCAATCAGACAGAACCTCGGGATTTGCGGGCGGGGCTGGACCCAGGGAAGGTGAGAAGCAGCGCCGCAGACTGTCCCTTGTCTCTCCCTCCTCACCTGTGGGTGATGCTGGGGCTGGCTCTCCGCAAACGCAGTCCTCCTCTGCCAGCTGTTGGGGGAGAGGATCAAAGGCCACCGATATCATGCCCGCTCCAGCCCCGCTAGGCCTGATGCGATGCTCACTCCCATCATCAAGTGTCCCCGCTAAGTGTGTTCTAGATGCAGCGCTGGTTTCTGGCTCTGGCAATGGGAAGCGTCCTGAGACCCCGTTTCTGATTTGATTCATGCCCATGGCCAGCTCTCCTGGTCAAATCTTACCTTTCCTCCTGGCTCGCATTTCCAGCCCCCTCAGGAAGTCCCCCACCCAAGTTCAGACTGTCTGTGCCCTCACTGGACACCTGATCAGGAGCCCTGACCAGGACTCCTGTCTCTTCTTCACTCCTGACCACAGAAAAGGGAAGGTAAATCCTCCTTGGACTCTTTAAATCCTCCACCCCAGTCTCCCAGCCTGACCTGGGAGGAGTGAAGCCCCTGGGCTTTAGGGCTGCAGGCCTCTCTCCCTGGCCACCTGCAACCCCCACCGTCTCATCCCACCTCCCAGCCCATCTCTTTTACTTCTTTGTCTTGTTTGTTCTTGTCTCCACAGAGGTGATCATTTCCACCAGGCAGAGATCCTCTTATTTTAAGCTTTTATCGTTAGTGCTCACACAGGCCGTGGTAGGTGGGCACTAAACCTTAGTTGCAAGAATGATAGCATGAAGGAGGTGGCTGGGGCCAGGGCAGCCTCCTTGGTTCCCTCTCAACCTTACACCCTCCCTCTCCAACCCCCCTCCAAAGGCAAGCCTCAGCATCCCCATCAGCCAGGGCAGCAGGACACACCCCTCCTGCCTGCTCCACCCAAGACATGACCCTCCAGACCTGAGGCAAGTGCCCAGGATCTCAGGTCCTTCCAGAGATGCCCAGCAGAGAGGGCACCTGTTCTCTCATGGCTCCATCCCCTCACCTCATTGGCACCTACCTGCCCAGTGCCGAAGGGGGTAGGGGGAGCACTGACTTAGCTGGGACTCCCGGAGAGAGGCCAGGTTGACTGGGAGGGGTAGGGAAGGAATAAACAGTGTTTGTCCTTAGCGTGGGGCTCTGGGGCTCCCCCAGTGTTACCAGACCAGAAAACAAGAGCATCAAGTCCCACAGGCTTGGAGGAGCAAAGACTGAACAACTTTCCACAAGTTGGGCTTCTCAGAGCCTTTAATATGTAAATATGCAAATAAGTCTTTAATTCAGACTTAAATTGAAGAAAGTAAGGAAAACCGCTAAACTGTTCAGGTATGACCTAAATCAAATCCCTTACAATTATACAGTGGAAATGACAAATAATTAAAAGGATTAGATCTGCTATATAGAATGCCTGAAGAACTATGGATGGAGGTTCGTAACATTGTACAGGAGTCCAAGATGAAAACCATCCCCAAGAAAGGCAAAAAGGCAAAATGGCTGTCTGAGGAGGCCTTACAAATAGCTGAGAAAAGAAGAGAAGTGAAAGGCAAAGGAGAAAAGGAAAGATATATCCATCTGGATGCAGAGTTCCAAAGAATAGCAAGGAGAGATAAGAAACCCTTTCTAAATGATCAATGCAAAGAAATAGAGGAAAGCAATAGAATGGGAAAGACTAGAGATCTCTTCAAGAAAATCAAAGATAGCAAGGAAACTTTTCATGCCAAGATGAGCTTAATAAAGGACAGAAACGGTATGGACCTAACAGAAGCAGAAGATAATAAGAAGAGGTGGCAAGAATACACAGAAGAACAATACAAGAAAGATTTTAATGACCCAGATAACCACCATCAATCACCTAGAGCCAGACATCCTGGAGTGTGAAGTCAAGTGGGCCTTGGGGAAGCATCACTATGAACAAAGCTAGTGGAGGTGATGGAATTCCAGTTGAGCTATTTCAAATCCTAAAAGATGATGCTGTGAAAGTGCTGCACCCAATATGCCAGCAAATTTGGAAAACTCAGCAGTGGCCA